AGAATTCAACGATTATTCTAAATATATTTTAGATTTTTTATATTTAAAATGAAATACAAATCCATTATTTTATTGTGTTTTTATGCAGTTAATGACACGAATTTCAAACATGGAGCTTTAATAAGTTGTACATATACACAATTTACTTATAATCTTAAACTTTAAGCAATTTGCATCGATAAACAATATTTAATGCATAATATATTTTTTAACAGTTTTTTTTTCCAAATGTTTTATAATATAGTATAGATATATTATATACACATATGTACAACAAAAATGAAACATGTATCGTCCCCTACCGCCTTTGACTATTGGCATTTCACAAAAATCAAGTTTACAATATAATTTAACAGCTTGAAATATACGTCATCAGTTGTTTCAAGATCTTCTATTACTGGTCAAAATGTGTATTAAATAAATAATAATAATTTTTGTTACATTGTTTTAAGAAACAAAAAAATTGTTCGTTGTGCTAAATAAGAATTAATTTACGCTTTGATGCATTTTATACATCATTAAACATATTTAGTTTTGTAGATGTTATATAGAAATATAGAGACTGTTTATCAAATACTTACCTTGTTAAGCACTTACTGATTCAATTACCTTACCGAATGAACATAGCAAGGTCGAGAACTCTTATCTGCTGAGAGGTTAGACCAAGATCGAGAGTTTCACCTGGTAAGTGAGTGTGATGACTCTTACCTAATAAGTATTTACCAGATTATATACGCTTACCATCAATCCATTTTGATGACAATGAATATTGCCTCACAAGATAAGTAAGAGTGGAATGAATAATAACTCTTATTGATAAATACTTATCCGATAAGTGTTTAACAAACAACCTCTTGCTCAACATATACTTGGGCCTAGTAGCTTTGCAAAACATCATGTGCCACCCTTATCCCACTAACGGGCTTTGTGCTACACGGCCCATAAGCAAGTATGATGAAATTCATATGATAGTAATAATATTATTTATAGTCTTCGGATTTACATTTTTAAAATGATTATGTAATATTAAATAATTATAATCAAATAAATAATTATAATAAATTAGGTTATCAAGGGCAATTGACATGTCTTATTTGTTTGGGTATTTGACAATTATGATTATTTAAAAAAACAAATATATCTTAATAATAACGGTATCATAAAAAAAACTAGAGACGTTAATGAAATAAGAGCGAAAGCTTTAAAATCGGTTTAAAAAGGTGGCAATAGATAACCAATTTATTGCAATTACAATCAAATTGATTATAGGATCCGTAAATATTTATATAAGCAGAAGCAAAATTAATTTATCTAAATATTAAATTTAAATTATTGTGATGTAAAAATGTAGTAATTAATTTCAAGTATACCTAACCGTCTTTTATTCAAACAAAATAATACGACTATTTTATATATGAATATGTTTAAATTGATCATTATAATCTAACGTCGAAATTAAATTTCGAGTGCTTCGACAAATTAATTATGATTTTGAGTTTGTTTTTATATCATACGGATAAATTAATCATCTTTTAATAATTACGTATGGAGTTATTAATGTAAGACAAACCGGTAGTTCAAATAAATATATAATTATTTGTAACTTTAAACACAAAAAATTAGACGATATTATAACGACTACGAAATATCGATATGATACTTTGAATATCGTACGTACGTATTATCTAATAATTATCGTTTGGGTAAATTACAAAGTATTTAAAACTTAAATTCATTATATTTTTTTCGACAAACAAAACTTGTTCCGATAATAAATTCTTTTATCTTTGTATATATAATATCTTCGAGTCTTTGTAGAAAAAACATGCATCGAAAAGCTTTCTTCGAAATATTCCGACACAAGACACGTAGGACGAAGACACGGTCCCCTAGGTGCACCATTTTGAATTGGGGTTAGCATAAGATGGCGTGGTGTGGGTGTGGGTGTGGGTGTGGGTGCGGGCACTAGTCCTTGTAACAAGGGGGAGCAAACAAGGATGGTCTCATGGATATTTGTCTCGAGCTATGGTGCACCACCAACCCTAGTCCCTGCAAACTTGGTCATTAAAATATTAATCATGTATATATACTACATATATTTAACTGTTATTAACCGTTTAAATACGAAAATTTTATTTGTATTCTATGATTATAGTTTTTAGTGTAAATACGTATATATTAAGGGTGCGTTTGATATATTGAACATGATAAAACATAATAAAATAGGATCGTTGTTTCAAGTTTGACATGACTTTTATGTGAAACAGAATGGAAGAGTCGTGTTCCACTCCCAACCCATGAAACAAGGTGGAACAAACACATATTTTACCAATATATGAAAAATATCAGTAAAGGGGAGGTGATACGAAACTTATTATATCAATTATAAGTGTATAAATCATTTAATTGAATTATTATGACTGATGAATTCCATCATAACTGGTTGATGAAAATTATATAATTAATTATAATTGGAAAGGAACGGATCTGAAAATTCAAATCCAGATAAGATGAATGCTACTGCAAACTCTAACACAAACCGAATTAAGCTTACTCAGTCAAATTATATAAACATAGACACTTTAATACATGGCTAAACTAAATAAAAAGTAAAACGTTGATCTATTTTCTACCCTTCTCTTTCTCTTAACTACCCCTCATCTCTCTGCCCTTCCTCACATCTCGTTGGCACTGCTACGATCTAGATACTTATAAATCATGTCAAATTTACTTGGAATTCTAACTATAAACAGTACTTTTAAGTGAAAAGTATTGATAATTGGTTGACATGTATAGATACCAAGTTCTCTTACAGGAACTTAAAATTTTGGATGAATTAAATATGTTCTAATAAATAATCAACAGTAACATTAAATGTTTGCTCAAAAAGTAGTTTGGTCTCAGGTTCAAATTTGGGGCTTATGAATCTTAGATAATTTACTCACACTTGGTTTCTGGAGGTCTGGGTGTCGTGTGGGACTGGTTGGAGTTGTTGGTACTCAACCTTTTGCTCAAAAAGGGGCTAGAATCGATCCAACTCATGGATTGGTAGTCGAAAACTAATTTGATTGGATCGGTTGTAAAATTCAACATCCAATTAAATAATCGGATGTGATCGATTGCGACAAAGATTACTAGACAAATTATTCTCACAGACAAACATTGGATATGAATCGATAAACAGTCTAATATGTATTTTTCTCTCATATATATATATATATATATATAGAGAGAGAGAGAGAGAGAGAGAGAGAGAGAGAGAGAGATGCCCATAATGTGTGTAAATGAAATGGGGAACACAAGAACAAGCCTACTTACTAAAATATAGAATTGACAAGTAAGACAAATAGGAAAACCAATCTACACTAATATATAATGTGATAATTATGATAGTGCTTCCACACTTATATTTCTTTAACAACAATCTTCATGTCTATATGTTATGTATTTTACTCATTGATTTTAGTGTCCATGTTAATTCTTGTTATTATGATATATTCAGTTACAAAACACGACACCGATAGTTATATAGTGCGATTTGTTTATTCGCTACAGTGAGTAGAAAGTATAAGTTTATTTTCATGATATACGTAGTAGATTGCATATAAAAACTAATTTATTGAAACGCTATTTGGAGTAGTATTTTGGTTGTTTGTTGTCATTTTTTCCAATTATAACTCTCATTAATATTAATTATTATTTATTCATATTAATAATATTTAAATATTAGTTATTAATTAATATAAATTGAAATTAATTATTAATTAATTTTATTTATG